AAGAAACTTTTTTGACGATTCATTCTTTGCCCTGACGTCAACTCATAATCATTGAAGAATGTAGCACTTTAAGAGATTTCTTCTGTCCCCTTGTAAAAATTACCAAGTCATCCAAAAACCACAAGTGAGAAACCCTCAAAGAACCGGCCGGAGTTCCATACACTGCCAACTTCCCCTCTTGAGCCAATGAATTCAATCACCTCGTCATTGCTTCAGCTACTATTAAACCATATTACTAAAAAATTAATACGTTTATATAAATGAAAAATGACTTACAAATATGTAATTATAAATTTGTACATTAGAGTTAAAAAAATAAATAATTTTTTTAAATGATCATATAGTATATTTTTATAGTTATTAAAAATGATAAAAAGAAATAAAAAACAGAAAAATTTAAATAAAAACTGAAAAAGAGACTATTTAGTTATTTTTGTAAATTTTTTGGGATCATTTTTATAAATTTTTAAAAATATTAGGTTGTTTTTACAATTAAAACAAATAGAATTCCGTTAATTTAGACGGAATTAGCTTTGGACAAAATCGGCTAATGGTTTAATAGTTTAAGGTAATATTGACTAACCGAAAAAAAATCGGGTAAAATTAACAACACATGTAAAGTTTTTGATAGATCGGCCAATTTTTCCGATAATAACACGACCTCAAAAACTTAAAAACAATCAAAACATAAATAGTTGCACCTCAGAAACTCATAAAAAGTATTGGAACAATAAAAGTTGCACCACACAAAGCATCTTATCCAAAAACGTTATATCCTTTATTTCTGAAGAAAAACAAAAATTCACATCCTGTAAAATCCTCTAAAATCACATCTCTCATATCGTCACACTTTAATAAAAACAGTACCATTCCCTAGAGGGGAGTGAATAAAAACACTATGTTACAAGATAATTAAGCTTCAATAAAAACAGAATTATTTCAAAAACAATCTTCACAAAGAATGAAAAGAAACATGTTACAAAATAATTAACTTCGCTCCAGGAGGAAGTTTTCCTCCTAGCTGCTTTGCACTTTGCAAAGCAACTTCCGAACCATTGAAGAAAAGACCCCTAGACCATGAACGATATTCCCTCAAAGGATGGGGGATGCGAAGATTAACTATAACCTTCTCAAGTGAATCCGCTGAGTTGTCAATCAACAAATTAGCAAGTTCAACATCAGCTTTGACCCCAACCCAACCAACAAATTCAACAACTTTCAAGGATTGATGAGTAAACTCAGCTGCCCTTTCCTCCAATTCCTTTAGGTAAGAAGATTCCATGGCTTGGCTAAACCAAGGACAATCAAAAGGAGTATCTTTCTTCTCATTCGCATCCATGTTATACGTGAATGTCACCTTTTGAAGACGAGGACATGCAACTATTATTGAACTAAAACAGATAAGACTCTCCTCCTCAAATGCTTCAAATATAAATTCCAATTGCTCAAGATTGCTGAATTCTAAAAATTTTCTAGGGAATCTCTTGCGTCTCACCCAACTCATAATGCTCATACCCAGTTCCAACCTTTTAACCCGAGAAAGATGCAAACTGCTATGGAGATTTAAAACAAAATGTTCACAGCATTCAAGTGGATAACGCGAATGCATCCTTATGGACACCATTGAAATTCCTAGAACATTTCCGAAGCGGATGTCTATTACTGTCCTCCCAGCATATTTAAAAGATGTCAAACTTCTCGATGAAACCTCTATCTTCACCAATCTAGCACAATATCTTATTTCCAAGTGCTTCAATTTATGTGGTTGATCAGAAACTCTCCCGTTTAGTAGAGCCGAGGAGTCCTCAATCATTAACTGCTCAAGCAACGAACATTTTGACAAAAAATATTCAATGTCCTTGTCAAATACAGCAATCCCTTTTAAGCACAAGGCTGTTAGCCTATCAAAGATGGGAAACGGCAGAGGAAAAGGACGATCCAAGATGGAAAAGTGTAGACATTAGTAGAAGATCCCACCCAACATCCGACGAAATGAGTCAGATCTAGTTCCAACTTTCGAACCCTTTTAGCAATGGCAAAACAGAACCATTTGTCAATTGACTTTGTTTGTTCATAACCCAGATGAAACACAATTCGCAATTGTTCCACAGTGGGAGCTTTGTGTGAACTCAACACCTAATTTAACCAATCACCAAATTTTCTAGCTTCGGAAAACTGGAGACATGGACCTTGACTATGTTGCTCTAGCAGCCGCATAGTGTCCTTAGACTCGAAATCTAAAATTCCCACGAAAAAAAACTTCCAAAGCTTGCACCATCTACGAGAAAGTATAGAGGTTCTTGCAGCCTCTTTCATGTCCAAGAATGACAAGATAATCCCCAATATCTCATCCGGCAACTCACTAAGACGATCCTGCATTTCATGTTGAAGGTATAACTAGCCAACAATCTTAAAGAGTGTCAGATCGGTGGACGTTACATGGTCGGTTAAATCCAGCGGTGGTTGATGGGCTGCCCCCCTCCTCAGACGCTTTTTATGGTTCTCCTCCATGGCATGTAACAGAAACCGTACCTTTCTTAGGCTTTCAATACTATCAATCCGAAGAAGGAGTTAAATCAATTATAATATAGGGATCCTACGTACACCTAGCAAGGTGTACCTAGTGTGTAAGAAACGCTCCCAAATTGAGGGCAAGTTGAACTATTTAAAATTTATGCCATTGAGTGAATTGCACGCGCGCATTAAAACCCCTGCAATTCGCGACCTTTTTTATTTCAAAAATCGAAAACCGCCATTATCTCCTAAATTCCGGCCATTATCCAAACCCAACTTCCTATTCATTTCAATCCATTCCGTCTCAAACCAAAACATCCGGAAAAAGACCAAAAATTCACTCCTCCGGCGATACAAAAACATAAACTTCAGCGGCAGAGATTACGATAAAGAACCAGAGGATATCAACAAACCAATTGTTTGTGGTTGCTAGCTTATGAAAATCCGGGTAAATTTCGGTTAAATTCTGCGGGTTTTCATCTGTTTAGTTTGTTTTTTAATTTATGAGGTTTGAATATTGATTTTTTATCCGAAACTTTATGCAAAATCAAATATCGTTTATTCTGATTCGGATTCTGATGCATTTGTGAGGTAACACTGCTGTTGAACTGTTAATAGATCTGATGGGTTATGTAAATTTAAGATAATTCATTCGATTACTGATATTGTTCATCTATTTAATAGTGTTGTTCATTTGTTTGTGGTAGATTTTGATAAAGATTGATAGATTTATGTATTATTCATCTGTTTGTGGTTATTAATTCATCACTTTTTATAGTCATATTTAGCCTTTTCTAGTTAGATTTGATGAACTGTTTATAGATCTGAGCGTATTTCTCATTTGGGTATAATTATTCATCAAAAGGATATCATTAATCATCATTAAACTCCTGTCAATCTCATATAGTTCATCGACAATGTGATGATTCTTGTAAGATTATGAGATTTATACATTATTCATTAGGTTTGTATGATTATTCATCTTTTTAAGTACAATACTTCATCAATGATTTAACTGTTTTTGCGTTTTATGGTGGATTTCATAAAATGTTAAAAGATAATAATAGCATTCATTATGCCAGAGTCGAAATTCACCATGTCAACGTCATTATTCATCCTGTATTTGTTTCATTTTTCACAAAGGTAAATCATGTGATAATACATTATTCATCATCTAATCCCATATATTCATTTGATGTACATATTCATTCATATATTCATAAATGTTGGAATTTAACCGAAACTAACCGTCATGTAGCAACGAAAAAACAAAACCTGATAAAGCTCCCCAACAAAGCAGGATATCTGGAGATGAAATACGTACAGAATCGGTGGATGTAATGATACAAATAGAGGGACAGGGAACTAAGCGGAACAAAAGTCTATCCGGTGTTGAAAAAAGGTAATACTTATTTGGTACCATTCATCAGTCACCAGTAGCAATAATTTGTTATGCCTCATTTTCAAATCGATACAGATAATCATGCAATTGTTATTCGTGAACCAGTGACAAAAGCAATCCTAAAAGGAAAAGAGTCCAACAAACGGGCAATCCTGGACAACATCAAAAAGAAGTTCCACAACGAACAGAAAAGGAATCTGGGAAACGTACTAAAGCACAAAGGTAATATATCTTTATATATAAGTGATACTGTCATTATTAAACTGTTACACATCAGTATGCATTAGTTGTTATACTTTATTCATTGAGGGGTATATATATATTTTTTTGTTCAGAGGACCAAAAGGTACCCCAAAAGCCAAAACAGCACGGAAGGGCTAGCCGAAAAAGAGGAAAAGCAGGCAAGATGAAGATAACCCGTTCCTAAATAGAGTTTCACCCCATGCTGTATGCGATTTTGTTGCAAAACTGGATGACCTACAAAAAAAAGTTGTCCGAGAAATCGGGTTTGGGCACCTTCTGGATATCAAATTTGAGAGGTTTGACGATCCAGATTTGTGCAAATACCTTCTGGACAACTACGAGTGAGTAATATATTTTCCTACAAAATTACATTATTCATCACTTCGTTTATGAATATTCATTAGTTCAAAGGCATCAACCATTATTATTAATGTTATGTTTTTATAACCATAATTAAACAGCCCCCAATTTTCAGGGGTGATACTTCAAGGAAACCAACAGCTGACAATAGATGAGGCAGATGTGGAGGCTGTACTGGGCTTACCACGAGGTCGCTATGAAGTGGTAGACTACGTTGAAGGAAAAGGGAGTGAAGAGTACACAAGGCTAGTTGATGAAATGAGAATAACATTTGGTTTAGATATAAGCAAAGGAGCTCCACCAACAAATAGACTGTTGAACTATCTGTTTGGTGGGAGGATGAAAAAAAAAAGGAGTGGAACCAGACCTGGCAACTTTTACAGACCGTATATATGGAGATAAGTTCAAAAGATGGTTCGTCATTGGAGTTGTATCCAGTATATTCTGGAGAACAAGATCTCCGGACTGTCGTTTTCAGCTAATGAACTCCCTGATAAATGTAGATCAGATCAAAGAATTGAAATGGTGTGAATACATCATTACAGCACTTAAATTCACGGTGTTGGAATGGAAAAGGAATCCAGGGCATCATACAGGGCCACTAGTCTTTGTTGTGGTAAATAACAATCTGATATTTACTTCATCAGTTGTTCATTGATATTCATTTATAACATATAGTTATTCATCTGTTTTAATTTCTTACGAAACATTTTGCAGCTCGCATACATGGATCGTGTCATACCCGATTCAAAATATAGAAGATCACGCAAATTCCCAATAATTGCTCATTGGACGACTGATGATGTGAATAAAAGGGCAGCACACGAGAGAAATGGAAATGGTTTCGGGAGTGGTATTATTCACGAAAAGCCTATAGATCCAACATCAAACCCTGAACCAATAACTGAACAACAGCAGAATGTAAAGGTACAGTACCCAAATATAGCATTTCCATTGATTGATTTATTACAAATTATGTTTTTTTAATGAGTAACATATTAGTAACCAAAGTACAAAAGCTATTGTAGGAACTGGATTTGGCCGAAAGGTTTCAGGACATAATGATCAATGATATGGGGCCATTACTATTAAAACTTGGAAGATTCTTTGAAGAAGCAAAATCTGCAGGAATTAGCAGCCAATCTGAGCTAGCGAAATTATTCTTCAACTACACAAAGACAATCAACAACATGGTTGTTGAAACTGCCAAAGCTCCTGACAATGTTGGTGAGGAACAAAGAAATGAAGGAAACAGCAGCAAGCAGAAAATGATAGTTTTTTGGGGAAAGGACTTGACACAGAAAGCCAATTGGATGCTTGGTGCAACAGTGAAGAGATGATTGAATGCTTAAAAAAGTTCGAGAGCTTCATAGAAGATGCATTAAAATCATCAAAACCTGCGAATAAGCAGCAGGAGAAGGGTGATGATGATGTGATTTCATCACAACCAAACTGGAGTATTGGGCTTACCCAGTTGGAGTTTGAAGGTATTCTTATAATTGCTAATCATCTTCTGAAATTTTAAATGTTCATCATGTATCAGATTTTATTCATCGTGTAAAATTTGTAGTTATGTTCATCATGTAACTTACGTTCGTGCATAATTACTTTATGCGATCACCATTTTTAAAGATACAATCAAATCTACAGCAAACCAATCTAAAGTGGTACAACCTAAAGCAAATGAGCCTGAAGGATTGAATACCGTCGAGAAGGAAATCCTAGAGAGCGTCATACAAGGTGCAGTAACTAATTACTCTACACCACAAAAGGTAAATGACAGTACAGGTGATAACACAAATCAACAAATTGTCAGTGAAGAAGAGATAAAAGAGTATATTGATCGGTATACTACTCTGTTTATTATTTTACAATTCTAATATTCAACAGTTGTAGTTGGATAATAATTATTTACATAACATTATTCATCCTGTATTGTTCTAGTGTTCTCAGCGGGAAAAAGCAAGACCAAAGGAAAAAAAGAGGAGAACTTAAAATAACTGATAAGTCACCTTTCTGGAAAAATGGTGGAAATGGAATCAAAGGAATCACTGAAATTGAAAGGCTCGTATCTGATTACGCATTTGTGGATGACAACGACATGTACAAACCCTTCTACGATGCCAAGCTATGATATTTTCACTGTTATTTATCTTTAAAAAATAGGCTTTGTTGATCACATATATTTTATTTACGTCTTACATCTATCATATGCAGAGAAATACTGTTTGAGATGCCAAGAGAAGATAAAGAACTCAGAGTGGAATACCATTTCGTCCAACGTCATCAAATCAAAACAATGATGCCTGGGGTGCAAATAAGTAATGAAATAGTTGATGCTTGGGCAGCGCACCTGAACCATTTAGCACCCAGAGAAAGGACCAAATATCCCAATATATATTTTTCATCCATTATATCGGTAAGATTGTTCATCATAAATTTAAAATAATTATCTATCAGTTTAAGTTATGCATCTGATTTTTTATATTAATGTCAAATGTGATCCGCTCATTAACAGGCACAAATGCCTAGTAATATCAATAAGATGCCGTCGGAGAAATGCTTTGAAGATGCAGTTTACAGAATTGGTTATGAGTTGCAATGCCAAAACATCAGCAATTCGCAGTTTGATAATACTAAGCAAGTAAGTACATAAACTAAATAGTTATAATGTGAAAAACAAAAAGTATAATCCATGTTATGGTTTGCTTGATGAATATTTAAGTTACTGATGAGTAATGTGTGGTTATTAATGAACTTTGATAATGCTTATCAAGTAAGTACATAAAGTAAATACTTATGACTGCAATTTATGATTTCTTTGATGAATATCAATATCATATAATGTTGAAATGTTATCTTTCATACAAATTAAAACTTTTACTAACAACACGGAACATGCAGCTGTTTGTCCCTGTACTCGCAAACGAACATTATTACTTCTATGTGTTCAACATGCTAGACGGCCAAGTGGAAGTGCTGGACAACATGGATATAGCTATCAAACATAATATTCCGTTTGAAGCCAAATATGGGGATACCTATAAATTTTTGGTAAAATATTATGTACTATGTTTATGAGTAAATAATTGGTAATGCTTTAAATGTTTATGAACAGGTTGAAGCTTTAGCCAGGTATGCTGACTCACAAAGGGCGATAACTGCTTATAATAGACTCAGAAAACTGAAAGAGCCAAATATTGTTCATCTTCTATGGAGCAACAGTGAAAATAAAACAGACTGTGTGGTATACATGATGTGCCACATGAAGACTTACAAAGCGGGCGTTGATAGCTACAACTGTGGAATCCCCCCAATCGGCAAAACAACGGTAATTATATGAACGATTAATACTGATAATATTGGATGACACATAAAAAAATTATTCTTTATTAATTGTTATTCGTCAATTCCATTTTCAGAGACAAAAGGATGTACATCAAAACAAACTTGATAAGCTCAGAATCAAGTACCTGACAGAGTTGCTGACCTCGGGCATCAACACCAAATCAATCACCATCACAGAGCGGATCAAAGAATTTCACACTGCTAGAAACCCATAGAGCCTAAAACTCTTGTGGTTCTTTTGTTGAATCCAGATAGTTTGATTAGTGAATGTGGAACAACTTTTGTTAATTAGATTAACGGTTATCGTTTTAAAAAATCTTTTGATGAATCCAGAAGGTTTGATTAGAGAATTTGGAACAACTTTTGTTATTTTATGTCATTTTTTGTTTATAGTATTTGATATAAGACAGCTTTTGGTATTTTATGTTTATAAATATCATAAGGATTATATTGTTTTAAATCACTGCACCAAAACCAAAAAAAAAGGAACCAATTGTTCATAAATAACGCAAAAAAATATATCTGTCTTGGAATAATTGTGCATTTCATTCCATATCTCCTAATATTTACATTCTATATAACATGAACTGAACTAAAGGATGAATATAGTCAACCATAAAATCATAATGAATATTAACAACAAATTAGTGAATTAAGGTATAGATATGATGAACAGAGAAATTTTAAAATCGTTTATTGTTAAGTGTTCATATGGTTATTCATAATTTGAACCACTGTTGTTCATCATTATAATAATGATATTCCTCGCAACATCCCATTATTTTAAAACGAGCTTCTTTAATCCATTTTAAAACACGCTAACCAAATTTAAAACACAAAAACAACTTCTATATGTAAAACAACTTCACAATAGCAAGACAGAAGTATTTCAGTACTTCCAGCTTTCATTGTTCATCAATGTCACAAAAAAACACATCAATACATCAAACAAAAACCAAACGTTATTCTGCTATAATTCACTACCTTGACTATTAACCTGATCAAATCCACTAAAAACAAGAGGGTGCGCATAACGACCAATAAAATCAGGGTTATCAATGTTCACCCTTTTGTATATAGTCTTCCTCGTCCTCAAAGCTGCACCTTTCTTATGTTTTGTACTAGCTTTTCTTGATCTTATCTCAGTTGCACTCTTCCACCTTACATTCCGCTCCCCCAATGGCCTCAATGTCTCAGGATCTTTAATATTTACAGTTGAACTTGTAGAATCCTTGTTTCCAAACGCACCCTCTTCAGTTTCTTCGAGCGAAGATCCAACCTCCTTACTAACATTATCAGACAATGTTTTCATGGTATCTGAAATGATTTTTTTGGCACCCTCACATGATTCACTAGCTGATAAAAGGCTGATAAACTTCTTAATCATGTCGGTCCTCCATAAGAAAGAACTTGATGTATCAAATTTAGACCCATATGCACTGTCCAAAGAATCACCAATACACCCTATATTAGCATTCCTTCTGAACCTTTGCAAAATGTAACATTTTGGAACTTGATTGACATTACGAAACATGTAAACTCTGAGACAATGAGCACACAAAAACCTCGAATCAGAAAACTTGCTGCATGTGCATTTAATCTCATTCGAACGAGCATTAAAAATAACTTGGTGATTCATCACATCAACTTGCATCCGCCTCACATGATGTAGCTCTATATCAGGGTGACCGTTAAAAGAACCAATAAACCAATGATTACACTGAACTGCAACATCAAATTCTTTTTCAAACACAATATATGCCTGAATTGTGTATAATTCTCTAGCATGCCGACACATATCACTATTTGGGAAACGCATATTAACGCGACCATTATTGCAACGGTTGTCTTCATCGTTCTCATTTTGCCTCCAACCATCAACTACTTCTTTGAACCTATGATAAAAAGTGCATAACCGAGAAGCCTTACTAAGGGATTGCGAAATTGACCTGTTTGTTGTTTCACTCCTTTGTGACGACAATGCACCACCCGAAAAAAAAGACTTGCTAAATGCAGGGCACCACTTCTCTCTTGAGGCATACCTAGCTTTCAACCACTTATCATTGTGACAATTGTAAGTGTCACACATCCTGGTTGTTAAAAAAAACATAAACACAAGTTGTGAATAGTTATTCATAAAAAAATATCTCATGCACAACAATCTCACAACAAATATGCATCATAAAATCTGTACTGAATAATCATATAACTTATTCATCTGAATCGCTTGCGACGCTCGTTAAATGGATATGATTATTCATTGTCTTAATGGGTTGTGCATTTTCCTATCTGTATTACATTGGATGAAACAATAATCATTAATATGAATTGTCACATTCATCAGCTATGTATAAAAATTCATTACTCAAATAAAATTTCAAAAAAGTAACAATAAATAAACGAAACTTACAAACGCCAATAATACTCAAACTCAGCAACTTTATCAGTATGCCTCAGAACCAGTTGGAATAAGTCCATAAAACCGGATTTGTTCCTAATGTAGCCAAAGTGGTTCTTCGAATTTTCACCGATATGCCATGTGCAAAGACGATGTCGTGCCTTCTTGAAAATCAAAGGGACTGCAGTACCCATGGCAGCGCACTGATCAGTCATGATGGTTGTGGGTTCTTTCCCACCCATAGACTCCAAGAATTCATCAAAAAGTCATTTAAATGACGGGATATCCTCATGTAACAAAAAACCTACACCAAACATTATGTTTTGTGTATGGTGATTCATTCCTGTAAAAGGTGAACAAACAAGTTTTTATCTAGTTGTCCTGTGTGTGGTGTCATGAACTACCAAATCACCAAAGACATCATAATCTCTTTTCATACGCGAATCCCTCCAAAAAACACAACAAAGCCTACATTCTTCATCATGGAGATAGTTGTAATAAAAACCTTCTTCTGTCTCCTGCCTTTTCTTCAACAAATTCAACAGATTGTTTGCATCACCACCTTCCCATTTAGCACGTTCATGAGCTGCAACCTGATTCCTAGCATCTGTTACGGTGTAGCCTAGGTTAGGAACACCTCGTGCTTGATTCCTCAAAAAACTGAAACCCTTGATAAGACCAATACTACTATCCTTCAAAGTGGACAAAAGTATCACATCATTAGCTGGAACTTCTCTTTGAGACCGAATCAAATGCCTCTGTCTTAAAGGAACAAGATCATGACAATGGTCAACCACATGCTGAACCACCTTCCATATACCTTCATCATCAATCCTCAACACAACCATCGCTAAACAACCAACACGCGTATCTGTCTGTATATAGCACTTACCCTTTGAAGTTTTGGCCCCTTGTTTACTACATGCGAACTGTTTCTAATATACTTCACCATTGGGCCTTTTTCTGTCTTTGAACTTTTTTGCTGAAAACCCAATGCGTTTTGCATAAGAATTATAATCAGAAAAAGCCTCTTCCAATGAGTTATAACAACGTCCAATTAGCACATTATCTGTTCATCATAGAAAATTCATTAAAAACCCTACATTACTCATCAGTAACTTCTTGATATTCATCAAATAAAAATATAACCTGCATTGCAAAATCCGTTGGACAAAGCAGTGAAACTCTATTCATCATAACTTCACGTTACTCTACTCATAAACTACAATTATTCATCATGTATGGATAAATATTCATTAGTTACAACATATTACACATCATTGACTTCCTAACATTCATCAATAAATTCATAACCTACGTTACTCTATTCATTAAAAAACAATTCGTTACTGGTACCCTATAAATAATCATCAGTTAATGATAAAAATGCATTACCAAACGCAGCAACAATCATTCAGAAAAAAATAACATACACTAAATATGATCAAATTACCTTCCAAAGATTCAGAAACACGATCATCGAATTCAACCAAAGATCTATCATCACTAAGAACAATTGCTGAATCAACATGATCAACATCATTGATTTCTTCAACATCATTATACGAATTCAACGATCCTTCTGAGTCTGCAACATCTTCAACAACATCCGCAACACCTTCGCCATCATAATCACAACCCTCCTTACCGGAATTACTGTCAATTCTGACGTTTAAATCTAAACCTTCCATCGTTTATAATTTTTCAGAATAAATATTGGTATTCCGGATGGTATCAAATCACTCAGTTTTGGTGAAAAAGATGAAGCCAAATAATAATTGAAAGATGAATGATCATTACGATATTACAAATGGTAACTACATTTTCAAAATTTAAATTCTTCACTAATAACATTTTGTGATCACGTAATTAAAATTCGGATTTTGCGGGATTTTTTTTTCTAATTAAATGATGCGCGTGTAGATATGAAAACCGGGATCAAATTGGCCACTTTTTATTGCCTTTAGGTGATATACACGCACTGCTAGGTACACCTTGCAAGGTGTACCTAGGATCTTAATATTATTTGCCGGAGTTAAATCCTCCAGTAAAAATTTCTATGAGCCACCGGTGAGGCTACAGAATTATGGTGGAAGCTAGATCTGGTTTTATATAAATAGATCCGATTCAAAATCAGAATCGTCCAGTGCGGTTAACAGCTACCGCATGGGTTTATAAATAGATCAATTCAAAAAAATAAATAAGAAACCGATTCCAAATCGGAATCGTCCGATGCCAGCAGCAGGAAAAATTGGCGGATCTACTTAAAACTTTACATGCGTCGTCAATTTTATTCTATTCTTTTTAGGTTAGCCAATATTACCCTAAATTATTCAACTGTTAGCCGATTTTGTCCAATTTGCTATTTTTTGTCTAAATTAATGGAATTCTATTTATTTTAATTACAAAAATATCCTAATGATTTTAACAATTTATAAAAATAATTCCAAAAATTTACAAAAATTATAAATAGTCTCTTTTCAGTTTTTATTTAAAATTTTCAGTTTTTTAATTTCTTTTTACTATTTTTCATAACTATAAAAATATACTATATGATCTTAAAAAAATATTTATTTTTAAACTTTAATGTACAAATTTTTAATTACATGTATGTAAGTCATGTTTGATTTACATAAGCATATTAATTTTTTAATAATATGGTTTTACAATAATGATACTATTTTTTAATCTATTTTTTTAATCTAAAAAATAAGTTTTTTTTTTAATTGGATGGCCCCAGCAAGAATCGAACCCTCGACCTCCCGGTAATAACCATCCCCCATCCTAATCCACTAACCATCCCACCCAACCCTCCCACCCTAAATAATAAGATTATTTAACTAATACTAATTTTGTGCAAAAAAAAATTAAACAATTCACATATATTAAAAAAAATCTATTGGTATACTTTAATGTATTACAATTTAATTCAACAGACTTTAGATTGTATTATAAAATTAAAAAGTAATCAAAACTAAAATATAAATATTCTTTAAAAGGCCAAGTACGAACATAAAGTAAAAAGACACTTATTTCGTTTCTACATTGGCCCAACACAAGAATATAGTATCGTGGCATTTACAAAAATGGTACAAAATATTTTATAAAAAAATATGTATATTTATTACTGTGAGGGTTTTACATTTTGTGATAATGTTTTGAGACACTAATATATCTAACTTTAGTAGGAAGTCTTTTTAAAAAAAAAAAAAAAAAAAAATCTACTCCAGTACTAGACTCCACCTTTTTTTTTGCATAAAAAAAATTAGATTTCTCCAGTGAGAATAGAACCTCAAACACAGTTTTAATCATCTAATATCGAACCTCGCAGTACCCTATATTTTAATTTAATAATTTTTTAATTAGATAATACAATCTATAGTCTATTTAGTTAATTTGCAATAAATTAAAATGTACTAATATATATTTTTTTAATCTATGCTACATGTTTTAATTTTTTGTAAAAAATTAGTTTTAGTCAAAAAATATTATTCTTTAAATTAAAAAAGACGGATTAAAAAAATAATATCATTATTGTATAACCATATTATTAAAAAAATTAATATGTTTATGTAAATCAACCATGAGTTACAAAATGTATATCTATAAATTTGTACTGTAGTGTTTAAAAGTAAATTATTTATTTAAAAGATCATATAGTATATTTTTATGGTTATGAAAAATAGTAAAAAGAAATAAAAAAAGAAAAATTTAAATAAAAACTGAAAAGAGATTATTTTATAATTTTATAAATTTTTTGGGTCATTTTTATAAATGTATAAAAACTATTAAGGTATTTTGTAATTAAAACAAATAAAATTTCGTTAATTTAGATGGAAAATAACAAATTGGACAAAATCGGCTAATGGTTGGATAGTTTAGGGTAATATTGACTAACCGAAAAAAAATAAAGTAGAATTGACGACGCATGTAAAGCTTTGGGTAGATCCGCCAATTTTTCCTTAGATAAAGCAACTGGTGGTTTTTGACAAGTGTCTGTAAAGAAAAAGCAGAACACGAGTCACTTAGAGAATTGTCAAAATAAACATTACAGAACTGGACACAACTAGCCACCAAGTATAATTACAAACAAAGTTAATATAAATCAGAATAAAATTTCTCAACAAATTACAGGAAAACCATTTATTTGTACTTATCTTTTCTAAATGTGCAACAAATAATCAGTCCCAAAGAGATGCCATAAACAAATTAGATGCCCCATTAGATAAGAAGCTAACTCTAATAGCTTTGACTAGGTAAAACATGTCATCCAATGAGTGAAGCCATATTGTAGGGGTAGGCTACATAACACAAAGAATACACTTTATGCAAGATTAGCGTGTGACTTTATACGGCTATCCATATTCCATTCTATGAGTGTAAAGGTTGTAGATGCATTCACTTTTTCCAATCTTTTCACGCATGTTATGATTAAAACCTTTTTAGCAGCAAAGGGAATAGGCTTGCAACCAGTAAACCATCTTAGTTTCCAGTCACAAACAAGTTAACCAAAACAATGGTCTTAACCTCATAAGGGGGAGCCCAATTATTTTGCATACATTTTAACAGAAACCTTTGCACAAGTTACATCCTAAGCAAGATACAATTTAGATACTTTCTCTTGAATGTTCTAACTCATATCCTCTTATTTTTCTAACCTTGAAAGCTTAAGATAACCAATTCCATGGGGAAACATCACTTACAATATGGAAAACGTTCTACAAGCAATGCAATATAAACATTTAAGAACAAGATTAATTTGTTGATGAATCATAACAAAATCATAGAAGACAAAGCCAAATGAAAAAACACAAATTACAACAAAATACGTACCCTTTCTCAAAAATGTATCCTCCTCCCCCCAATAGGGAAAATACATACCATTTTATCATAACCTTCAATCAGTTTTGCATAATCAACCTTGTCACCTTTCTGATTCTCCACTTATCTCTTCTACTTTTCTTACTATCATCCCCTATTCCACGCCGGAGCGACTCACTTAAACTCTTCCTCCTCCAATTATAAATTCGGAACAGCCGCCCTAATCCTAATTCTCAATCAAAGTTATAAAAACATAGAAACCTCAATTAGACATAGTAATCTCAATTCACCACTAAACTATTCAGAGCAGCATTACACATGTAGAAAATAAATAAAGGTAACTGACCCTTTCATGATGGCAGTTTTTGCAAATTAGTTTTAGCAGAACATCTAAAGTGTCTATATATCCATTAAACAACACCATGTCCTCTAAAAATTAAAGGCAGAATATTACAGAGCATCAACCCTATTATAAGCCTAATTGAACCCTATTAATAAAATTTGACAATTGGTTATCCAGTAAACAGACCTAATTGGTGCTCATGGATTCTGATATTGGCAGAATGAGGTTTTTTTTTTTTTATTTTTATGCTAATTGTTACCCCAATTAGTGCCCATGCATTCTGTTCAAAAATATCTGATTAGTCACAAACTCTATATATTGTACATAAATCATACTTTGAATCAAAACTCCTTAATGACACCAAATTTGTCCTTTGTGGGTATAGCTAAACACTACTGCTCCATGTTCCTCCCTTAAAAAATAAAAAGCAATCAACTAAAGACTTTGAAGGATTCCATGATAAGTTTTATGTTTTCTTTGGGCGATTAAGAAATATAGAAGACTAAGTTTCTCCGATATTTTGGATTTCAGAACTGGACCGCTAAATTTGTTCTTAAAAGATAAGAAAAAAAATTCAAACTTAATTTGATTCATCAAAATTAGAGAAAAAAAAAAAGATGCATTAATTCTTGCAATCATATAGTAATGCTCAACTTCGTTCTGGTACCGCAAGAGCAGAAAAAACTCCACCAATCGAAATTAATCAAGCCAAAGACTATAAAAAAAGGGGGAAAAAAAATCATTGAGGAACCAATTACATTTAAGTTTGAAAAGATGAAAGTTTTGAAAAAGAAAGCTCAGAAGCCAAGCGTAACAATTAACATTTCATTGAGTAACCAATATGATAAACAATGAATCTTCTTTCATGTTACTCTTCATAACTTCTTTCTTTCATTAAAAGAAAAAAATCAAATTAAACATTTAAAGGTGGCTTGTCACTAGTTTTGAACTAAACTCCCACTTAGAATAGGGAAATTGTATTAGATTCATCATGTGTTGTGCACAATATACAAACTATATATAGACAATAACAAACCCTAAACTAGAACATAATAGGAAATATACTAAATATTACAATACGCTCCCGCAAACTTACGGCGGAGAAGAGAGAAGCCGAAATTTGTCCCGAAATCGAAAGAATAACTCTTTGGACAAGGGTTTTGTCAGAATATCAGCAAGCTGATCAGCAGCAGAGATAGAATTGACCGAAACAAACTTACGCCGAACATGATCTCGAACAAAGTGAAAATCAACCTCAACATGTCTTGTACGAGCATGGAACACAGGATTGACAGCAAGGAAAACTGCACTACTGTTGTCACACCAAATAGAGGGAGGGCGATGTACAGAAACGCCTAACTCGGACAACAGATGACACACCCAATGCAGTTCAACACAGACATTAGCAACCGCACGAAACTCAGCCTCAGTAGACGAGCGAGCCACAGTGGGCTGCTTCCGAGATGCCCAGGCAATGAGATTAGGTCCCAAATAAATGAGAAAACCAGTAGTAGAACGACGATCATC